CAACACTGAAGACCATCCCCAGGCTTCCAGAGTAAGAACTTGGACATAATATTCAAGGCAATCATGAAAATAAAAAGGCACATCAGGACATTTACAAAAATATTTTTGTCAACCCAAGAAGCTTCTACTTTGATAGGACACAAAACAGGCATTTAATAGGTTAAAAACTGTTTTTTGGATCTAACACATTGGCAAATACATGTTCATAAGATAAACCCATACTGAGGGACATGTATGATAAGATGGATGAGGTAGGCATCTGCAAACAGGGACTTTTGTCCAGACATTTCAAAGAATAAAAGAGAGTTATGGAGCAGGGAAGACAAAAGGAAACTCTAGCATATCAGGAAAGCAAATGCTTGTCTACGTTGTGGACTTAGGTACTGTGTGTGTATCTGTCTTTACTGAATGCTGCTCACTTCCTCGAAAACCCATGTGGAATTTGAGAGCTTTGGTTTCCTTCCCCATGATTTTTCTTGGTTGTTAGGCCATCCTATACATATTCCCTTTGGGAATATTTTTTTTGTTCACTATTAACAGCTCAATGACACAGTTTATTTGCTTAGTAAAACAGAATAGTGTGGCCTTAGAGATAAATGTATGGTGACTACTTGCAGCTGGGTCATTGGCATTTTATGAAAGTTGAACAACACCTTTTGTTCAAGGTTGCAGACCTACATTTTTAAATATTAACCATCTTCTCCAGTTTGTCTCCATGTTATCCGTGTTCCTTCTTTAGACAGACTGGGAGACTACAGGATTCAGTCTTACTGAGCCTGTCTTTCATTCTGCTGAAAATAAGGATTGCAAGTCACCTTCTTGATGGGCCTTCCTTAGTTGTGTTTGTGGCTAATAAACTAAATGGAGCCATTTTAGCGCTGAGAAGCTCGTTTTTACCTGACAAGCCATCATCTGTCATTTATAATGGACAGGACCCAAGATAATAAGCCTTTAGCTTGTTTTCCTTTTTCTGCCTTTAACTGAGGTGTAGATCCAGACAGCTAATGAGCAACAATTTCAGATTCTTAGGTATTAGCCATGTCCCAAAAAGAACCAGGGAAAAAAAGTGTTTGTGATAATACTCGATTTAATGGCTCATGCTGAGAATGTGCAGATTTATTTGACTTTTATTTTACTGTGTGGCCCATGACCCATGGATATCTTGTAGACAGGGGGAAACTGAACAAAATATTAACCTTCTAGTTTCAGAAGGTTGAATGGATTTCCCAAAAGCAAACTGGGTCGGAAGCATTCATGGTATATGGAGGAAAGTTTACCTTTAAAATATTGATAATGATGGTGTATGTGGGGTTAAAGGAACCTGGGGCTGGGCACCTGGGATCGCTTCTGCCCCAAAACTGAAAGAGAGAGAGGGAGGGGATTACTTGACCAGAAGAGAGTATCCTGTAACGGAGACTTTGAGATGCTCAGATAACTTCTGTAGAGGAAACAGCTGCCCGAGACAATCATGCTGGGAAGCACAGAGGGGAATAAATGCCCCAAATTCCCTCTCCTCCTGCCTGGGCTCCCCAGATGCCAGACTGAAAAGGAACTTGTTGATCTGGTCTCTAGAGTCAGCCTCCCAGGGCCAAGAGGAGGGTGCAAAAGAGTGGAGAGGGTCTGGAGAGGCTCCTAACAGTTCTGCAGCATAGCTAGGTCCCAAATCACAATGTTTTCATGGTCTGTTTAACATGTGCCTCAGAGAATAGGAAATTCTGGAATCCTTTTATAAAAGGAGTCTAACAGCTGGAGAACTCTGCAAGGTTAACCCTGAAAGGTTAACCATGGATGAGAGAAGGTGTGTCCAAGCAATGAGTTAGACACTTTGAGGTAGAAAGTGCTTTTTTTCAATTCCTTCCTTAGCAGGCTGGGGGGAGTGCTCTACCAATGTAGTTTTTAATTTGCTCCAGATATGGTATACTGACATTTGCTGAACAGCTAAATAAATAGATCTGAGTTCCACACAACAGATAACAGCAAGGTCAGACAGTGATGTTAGTAATTTTAGAATATTGTCTATTGCTGAGAACGTTTTTTAGTGACAGTGACACTTGATGCTGCTGGTCTGTGTAGAATGAATTCTGAAAGATTCCATTCCTCCTGATATTAAATATTATCAGTCATCAGCCCTGCCCAGCATTTAAGAGGAGCCCTAATTCAAATGGGATGTTGATTTTTATAACAAACGTTCGAATGTGTAACTTTCTTACAGCATTGTTTATTTGGTTTTCCTCTTAATTTACCTGAATGTAAGTTTCAGATGCCAATGAATTTTTTCAGCATCAGAATTTAAGATTCTGAATGTGGGATCTGACATTAGAGTCATTTTACTGGAATGAACAAAGGTGGAGATTTGGGGAAATAAAATGGAAACTTGTTTTTGTTAAGAAATTTGGCAGTAAACTGACTTTCACAAATATATTAGTGAGATTTGTAAGGAATAAAACATGCATGTGTTTTAAAAATGCTTTTACTTAAAATAATTTTAATATAAATTTTAGTCTATAAGAAATAGATACTAATAGATCACTGAAATCTTAGCTGGAATGTTGTGTTTACTCTTTGCAGTCAGATATTTATCCACTAGGGTTTGATATGAATACTTATCAATCGTTTATTTTTTCAGAAAACTAAATGATCAAATAGGTTTATTTGAACAGATTCCTAAAATGACATAGAATCATTATTTTCCACCTTCGTTTTACATTAGATTTGTTATTTACAGAAACGGTGGGTTTTGCCATTAACTAAATTTGTCTTCATTTCTCTGTGGTGTGAAGTGTGAATCTGTGTAGTCCTAAGTTTTGGCTCTCTCTGCTTAGCTAATTTTTAAAAAATTAATGTTAAGAATAAAGAGAAGAAACCACTCATAGGAATATTTTTTATCCTCTTGCTTGTAGAGACAGTAGCCCCCTGGAGACTGATATGGCTAGGTGGATAGACATCCTGTTTATAGAATATTAAATGGGTGCTTCACCAAGTTGCCAATTTTAGGGGTGTTCTCTATATTAACTCTCCAACAAATGACGATGGAGTATACATATTTACATGAATCAAGATGACATAAGTCTGAGATGATTGAACAAAATACGATTCAGAAAGAATGTGCCAGTAAATATTCTTAATCTGCACCAATGTATCTCCCATTACAAATAAAATATAGATATTATAAGCAATGAGTATCCTGCTTTGAAACAATTATCTGTTAAGCTGGAAAGACAGTTTTGTAACCAAATACCTGTGAACAATGAATTCTAATAGCTAATATCTTAAGAGAGAATTATATGCTTCTTTTTTAAAGCCCTTTGATGCCTCTTTATGAAATAGTACAACCGAAATCTCTTTGCTGTATTTTTTTTTTTAGCTTTGAATATCTCTGTGGCCAAATTATACATTATGGTAGTTTTTGCAGGATCTATTTTCAACACGCACCACTCAAAAAAGAACCTAGCATTTGCCATTCTAAATGTCTAAGTGGTTTTTGTAATCATGGCAGTGGTTCTGATTCTCAGTTCAAGAGGATATGGGAACTATCTCTGCAAAAAATAAAAACCGTGTTTATACAGTTTCCCCAAATCTCTGTGCCCTTCAGTCCTTTTAACTCCTTGTCTCCGGTACCTGTTTATAATGCCAATCAGTATTTCCATCTTCAGATTTTTTCTTCATCTGAAAATCCTGTTAATACCTGACTTAACCACTACTAACCTGTCTGCTGACGACTACAGAAGCATTTATATGCCACCTTGGCCTGGCCAGGGCCTTTGTAGTTGCTGTTCTTGATTGTGAAAGCTTCCCACTTTTGTAGATACTATAACTTTGACTTAAATAATGAAATGATTAGCATCTATGCAAAGAAGGACCCTAGATCTCTGTGCCACCTAACCACAAATACACCAGTTCCTGAACACCTTTTCTGACAGCTCTCTGCAGATCAAATTTCCAATCCATTGACTTTTTTTTTTTGCAGAAAATTACTAAATTAAAGTGTTATGATTTAGAACACAGATCATCTGCTAAAGCTCATATTAAGCTACAATCCAAATTATTTGACCAGAAGATTTTTTCAAGGTGCATTACTTAGGTCTAATGCTTCATAGAATGTATTTTGGAGAACTTTGATTTAAGGAAACAGGCCCTCATTTTGGGAGGAAGTATGGCTTTAAAATTTATATGGTGCAGTATTCACATTAGTTTTTAACCTGTTAAGCTATACCACTATTCCCAATGGAAGATGTCTTCATTCTGTTTAGAGCTGGAAGTCTGTGTATAAATTTTTGGCTTTACATATACCAAAACATACATAATTAATAATATTCTTGGTAGTTATGCAGGATGTGAATTGCATTTATTTACCGTCTGATATGTTCTTTTTAAAAGTTATTAAAGGAGCGGCAGTGTTGACAGACTAAACCTTTAGTTGTAATTATGTGTAAATATGTGTTACATAACTCCAAAGTTAGGGAAACAAATATATTACACACTTGCATTGACTCTTTCCTCCACTTCCATGGCAGACATTGCTAACAGGTCAAAGATCTCTGCCATGGAACTAGAATGTGCCTCCATCATCATTCTCCAAACAGCCACTTACAGAGTTACCATGCCTTCCAGTGGCCATTCCACTCTGTGATATCTAAATTCTGTGTTTATGATGGTGTCTGACCATTAGAATTTTCATGACCAGGACTGCAAAGAGTAATAGTGGTAATGGTATAAATTTCAGTGTTTCAGAAATGAGGAGGAGGAGTTACACTCTGTAGAGAGGGATCTTCTTAGGAACATCTCCTTCAGCTCAGGACAAAGTTTAGGTTTTGAAGGCCAGAACCCACTCCTGTATCTTCATTACCCCTCCCCAACCCCATCTAACTAGAAAATGCAAACCATAAGCTCTAGGCAATTCTTTTATTGGAAAACAATAAATATCTTTATTTGTAAAGAGCTAAAACCCATTGGTCCACAAGCCTATAAAATATACCTTACCTCGATTGATTTTAATTTAGCAGCAAAATTGGAAAGCAAGAAATACTTGGGCATCAGAATACAGGAACACAGAAGCATGTCCTTGAAGCTTGGAAATAGGACCAACATGGAGCTGGAACTCTTGACTAATCTTGGGAGTCTCTGATTATAGAGAGACTGCCAGAGGGAGTGGAAAGAATATGGACTTTGCAGTAAGACTGACTTAGTTCAAATCTTGCCTCCATTGCTTACTGCTATGTGACGTTGAACACATTATTTAAGCTCACTGAGTTAGTTTGTTCACCAGGGAAAGTTGTAATACGTAATTTCTAGCACCTAGGAAAATTAACACTCAATAAATCTTAATCCTCCATACAATTTTGCTTATTCTAGCAAGGAATAAATTATAGAATATAAGTAAAGTAAAGAATTTAGGAAGAAGAGAATAAAGTAAGGAAAGATTAGAGTCTAATTAGACCTATTTCCCTAGATTCACCCTGGCTGCTCTCAGAGGTTAACCTGAATGGAAACTTGACTCTCCATCAAGTTACAGTTCCCAGAGGATCCATCCTTAATATGTCATTTCCATGCTGTCAGTTTGAAGAAGTTGGAATAAAATGGTTGGTTCATCTTTACTGATGAATTTAAAATTCCCAAATATTGTTTTGCATTAAGGGTGTTGTATAAGACATTTACTTTTGATTCTGAGATTTTGGGGCAGGATTGTGTACCTTCTAAAATTATTTGTTTTTTCCTTGGGAGAAATTAAAAGGGCAAAGCAGGAGGATATCTTTCGAGGAATGCTGTTTCTCACATGTCAATTTTAGCTATGTTGGAGGTACATGAGTCGCTTTATTCCAAGGATCCTGGCATTTGAATTCATACAAAAGAAAATAATTTCAAACTTCAAGATATACCAGAGGTAGCAAAGTGAGCCTGAGTAGCCTGCCAGAATTTCAGCAGAAGGCAAATCTGGTTCCAATCAAACGAATCTGTTGGTTTATTTGTATGATTACAACAAAGCCCAAGATTGAATTCCTCACCTGAATCACTTCCTTATTGACTGAATCCATTTAGGCTCCCCTCTAATTTAGCAGAGTATTTTTATTAAAGCCAGGCATACAAACATCAATTATCCAAGCTGCATCTAATTTCCTTCACCATTTATTTTCTTTTGTTGTCTGCCAATGGATTAGAAGACATGATTGGAATTCATCAGGAAAATAAAAACAACAACAAAAAGGAAAAACAGTTTCACAAAAACAGATGCTTAAGTAAGAGCAACAATGTTCAGAATTAAAATAGCTTGTGATTAAAAAAAAATTCTTATCTTGACAAATACAAACATGCTTGCTTGATTTTTATCAACCTAATGCCCACTGCACTGGGACTAAATTAGCATTTCAGATTGGAATAAGCACAGACAAAACCTAGTAGTTGCACTTACTGTGCTTCATGTATATGCTACAGTATTTTTAAATATATTGCAGTACTTAACTATTTGCAATAACCATTGTAAAGTGGCTGGCTTATTGTGAAAGTTTTCTATTTGTTCACTTCCAACCAGTATCAGGGAGAAAAAAAAAAAGAACAAAACAGAGGCTTTCCTTCTTGTGAACTTGTTAAAGGTACAGGTTTTGTTTTAAAGAAATGTTATCAAAGTTGGTTGGACTCCTTTATGTAATTGACCACCACTACTGCCTGGATACCTTAATGTTATCAGTGATAGCAAGAAAATAACGCAACAAAGAAAGACAACGTAAAGTCTGAAAAGTGCTATCAAAGATGTATCAAATGACACGAAGAAGGAGGGGTGGTGGTACACTTGCCATGAATTTAAGAGGAAATGAACCAAATCACATCTATGTCAGGTTAGCAAACTATGACTTACGGGCCTAATCTGACCCACCACTTGTTTTTGTAAATAAAGTTTTATTGGAATACAACCATGCTCATTCACTTATATATTGTTTGTCTATGATTACTTTCATGCTGCAACAAGGTTAGTAGTTATGACAGAGACTAGCTCACAAAACCTAAAATATATACTGATAGAGCTCCTAACAGAAAAATGTTGTCTACCCCTGGTGAATGTCAGTGGCTACCCAAAGTACCCAGCTGTTTCCTACTGCACTGCATGTGCTGTGGTGAAACAGATGTTGGTTTCAACTGTGACTGCTTAATAGCTAGGAGCCCCTAAATTTTCTGAGCCTCAGTTTATCTATAAAATAGAGGTTAAAATACATTTATAAACTTATTGTAAATTCATTGTGGATGCTCAATAAATGTTAATAACCTTCCTGACTTTACTAAAGTCTGTGGAGGTGTCTTGAAACCAAAGGCTTCTCAAACTCTTTGTCATGGTGTTTGCTCTGCGCCACTCTGCACGATTTGGGGTGGGGTGGGGGCATCTCATTTCCACACTCCACTTCTTAGGCCCCAGGGACCTGATGCTCCAGGTTCTGTTGAGTTTCTTAAATGCACCACACTCTTTTCTGTCCCTCCACCTTTATACATGGCATTTGTTGTCTTGAGATACTTTTCTCCCTCTCTTAATTGTGACCTACCTTCCCTCTTCCTGACTGTCCCTCAGACTCCAGCTTCAATGTCTCTGCCTATGAGAGGCACTCCATCACCACCCAGTGTATTATGTGTCTGTCCTGCTACTCACAGAGGAACTAGCATTTTCCTCCCCTTCATAACCATCATCATGGTTTGCAGTTTTAGATATATAGAACCTTTTTATCTAATTTAAAAATATTTCTTGCTTAGCTACTGAGCACAGAGCACACAGTAGGACCTGAAGAATATATATATATATAATTAATAACTCCCTTTTTATTGAGCAGTCTGGCAATATTTTTATTTTGTTAAGGGGAGTCAGGGTCATGTTGAAGAAAAAGAACTGAATTTTTTAGCCTGACAACATACAGGCTGCATAATTTGGCAAAAGTTGTTTATACCTCTCTTGGTCTTGGTTTTCTCATCTGCAAAAAGGGGTAGGTAATACCTGCCTCCCAAGTTTATGGCAGAGTTGGTTGTGGTAATGGATCAGAAGAGACTAAGCTGGCATACATTGTGGGGCTTCTTCAGGTTTCCTGGCTCAGAAGGATATTTGACAGTAGATAAAGCTGTAATCCCTGGTTCCTTCAGATCTTCACCTCAATTTGGGGATGAGTATACCCACCTCCCATGATCTTCATGTGTTAAATGCATTAGTACATATATAATAATTAGAATACTGAATACCACCTGCTAAATGCTTTAGTAATGTTAATTATGGTTGTATTTGTGATGGCTAGTCATATATCAACTCTTAAAGATTGTGGACACTTTGCCCAGGAAAGTACACATTCAGACAAAAATTTTATAGCCAGCTGTGAAGATTTCACAATTCCTCTGAAACTCACAGCCCTATCCTGAATGCATGTGCTGTAAGTTACCATTTCCCACTGGAGGCCTTGGAAGCCGTATCCTGTAGGAGCAGTGCAGCTATGGGACTTAATTAAAATTATCCCCCAAAAATGTTCTGTTTATGAATTCACCTGACTGGGGAATCCACTAATGTTCATCAGATATTCAAAAGGATCTGTGTTCCAAAGAAGAGGTTTAGTATTGATTTTTGTTGGTTTGTTTATTTGGGCAGTGGGGATGGTGTTGAGAGAAACTTGATAAATAGCAAGGGCTGAAGCTGTTCTTTTGTCAAAGTTCAGTTTTTACTTTTAATTGTGGACTAAACGCTGCAGCTAGAGTGTGTTTTGCAAAGCAAAATACCCACAGACATTTGAAAAACTTGCATATGGGCTCCCTGACCACCTGCACAGCTGCCAGCGGCTGCCACGAACTTGCCTTGGGATCAGCTGTCTGGGGTCTGGGGACCTGGGCTCTGTATCTGGCACTTCAACTACCTCATTAGATGCTCTTTACTTTTGTGAAACAGTAAATAGCAACCCTCCTAATTCTCACCTGGGAACTAGAAAAAGTCTCTGTTCCCCAAAGCACTTGGGATCTTCTGGGAGAGTCTCTTGGTACTTAAATAGACCTAACACTGGCTTCTTTTTTTAAAAGAAAACATTCTTTTTGCCAGGGGGCTGGGAGAAGATAATTAAAAGTTGCTATTGGTATCGTCGTGGAGCAGCAGTTAGTGGTTGTAAAATGAATGAACATATGAGGCACACATTGAAAATTTGACATGCTTTATAAATGCTAAATAATAATAATGATGTCACGAAGCTTTCATTTTTAAACTGTCTCAATTTCATTCTCAGTTTGAGATTTCAGATTACAGTAGTTAATTACAAATTGGCCCAGAGTGAAACCTTAAATCAGATTTGCATTAAAGTGCATGACTGCAGCAAATTACTTTACCATGGGAGAGAAGGCGAGGATGGCATAATCTCTGGTTGAGTGGGGACCTCTCACCACCCAGGGTGGTGACTTCCCTCTTAGAGTGCTCTGGTGTATCGTGTATCCTAAAGAATTCCATTTCCCTGAGCTAAGCAGCCTGCATACTTCCGTGTTTTGTTGCTCTTCTCGTAGAAATCCCGGTTGCTTTGTTGGTATTGGTCATACTCTTTCTGCTCCTCTGTCTTCCTCATGGCTTCTCACTCTCCCTTTTGCATTTTCTCTCTCTCTTTTATTCTTTTGTATTCTCTCATGCCTTTTCTTTTACTGCTTCTTGTTCTCTCTCTCTCTCTCTTTCTCTCTCTCTCTCTCTCTCTCTCTCTCATAGTTACTCTATATTTCTCATTGTCTCTCATGCATTTACTCTTCTCTCTGTCTCTCTGTTCTCCTCCTGTAACTTCTCTTCTGCCTTTCAGGGAGGCTGCTTACAAGACCTGCCTCCACCTAGTTCTAAAGAAGGAAGAGGCCAGCCGTGGTGGCTCATGCCTGTAATCCCAACACTTTGGGAGGCCAAGGTGGGCAGATCACTTGAGGCCGAAGACCAGCTAACCAACATGGCAAAACCCTGTCTCTACTGATAATACAAAAATTAGCCAGGTGTGGTGGTAGGTGCCTGCAGTCCCAGCTACTCCAGAGGCTGAGATACGAGAACCACTCAAACCTGGGAGGCGGAGGTTGTAGTGAGCCATGATTGTACCGCTATGCTCCAGTCTGGGCAACAAAGTGAAAATGTGTCTCAAAAAATAAATAAAATAAAAAGGAAGAAATAAGAGGATCCAAGTTCTCATCCCTGTCCTCTGACACCTGCCAATCTCGGCCTCACCTGTCTCATCTTAAGTTACTTCACCATTCAGCCATTAGTTCCTCAGTGAACTAAGTTGAGTGACATATGTGCCTTTATCCTGGCTTTTCCCTTTATCTCAGATCCTGTTCTTTTCTTCTTCTTGTCTAGTAGAACATCACCTCTTCTAAAAATCTTCTGTCATGGCAGCAGCCTGCATCACTGCCTCTGCCCTGGTCTTGGCTATGTGAGACATCTGTAGACCCTGTATTATAATTGTCTGTTTACTGCTCTGGCTC